AGGAGAAAGTGCGGACCTCTTCAATCATAATTAAGCCTTAAAAGTGAAATGATAACGATTACGAAAAAGATGACACACTTTGGACTGCTGTTTATCTAATATATTTCAGCTTTTACAGTATCACTAGTGAGTTGATAAAATTAATTTATTGTAGTACTATAATCCCTCATATTTGAATTCATCTTTTCTATAAAACAGAGGAAGTTAAAGTCAATATGGAAATTGTTATTTAACCCATGAAAAATGGTTGTCAAAGGTCTTCTAAGGGAGTGGTATTGGAATTAACGATATGGAACACTTCGAATGACGGATAAACGATTTTTGGGAAGACTTAATCCGATGATGGCATCACTTTCATCCTTTCAAATGCTGCTTTTTCCAGTTGCTCTCGCTGACTTGGGTGTGAAATTCTTATTAGTTCATATGCCCGCTGTCGCATATTTTTTCCCCACAATTGAGCTATCCGTATTCAGTAACCACATAATGTACATGGGCTCGTGATGTCACCACCTCCGTTCCTGTTGAAGATTAAGTCAAGAGAAAAGTAAAATTGAATATTGGAATTGATTTATTAAAATGATGAGATAATGCTTACTTCATTAATATATGGCATGATCTTGCTTTGACCTCTCCTGGTTGTGGAAGTAATTGCAACTATAGGCTTCCCAAGCTCGTCATTTTCTTTTGTAGCTCCTCGGATAAAGTCCAGTTGAACCACTGAAGTACTTCTCGACATATTGTAATTGAAAACGAAGAAGTGAAGATTCATATCAGCAAATCCAAAAGAATTTTCATTGAAATTCATTCATTTTACTGACTGGAAAAGGTTAAAGATGCAATACAGGTGGACGGTAGCCCTTTATTCACTTTTGTCAAGACAGACCTGACTGACAATCGTCTTACCCTGGCCAGTTAAATCAATTTTAACAGCTGAATTGATGGCAATCATTTTTGGGATTAGTCGTATTGTTGTTGCCTTGTTTATCTAGGCTGCATCACCGGGCGGTACATCGGGATTACCGTCCACGAAATGATAAGATTTGCCAGATCTGTAAATAAATGAAGTCACAATTTGCCATTAAAAAAAAATCAGTGAACATGATAAATGTATAAATGATCACTGAAATGACAGAAGTGGTTGTAGCAAAACTAAATTTCCCAGGGAAATATGGTCTTTTTCAAATTTATGATTGCATTACAGTCAATAAGTTTCAATACCCCGTCTAAGAGCATTTTGACATGAATCCCGAAATCTTCATGATTAACCAAGAGAGCTAATGCTGCATCCGGAATTCCTCCAATGCCTAAAATGACACCTTCATTTATGAATCAGTATTATTTTCATCTAAACTAATATATTTAGTCGGAAAGCCTGAATGAGAGAGATTACCTTACTCAGGCATATCCCGTTTGAAATTTATTACTCTTGCATTAGGACATTAGAATTCAGGTACAAAAAATTTAGGAGAATGTATATCGTTCCTTTTCATTTTCGTTTCATTCTTTTGCCTGTCTTCCCAATCTTCTCGTTGAATTTATTCCTTCGCTTTTGTCTGCTTAAGAAGTATCAGACTAACTTATATTTGTCCTAAGCTCGAACAACGTGATACCCAAAATTCAAGATAAGCTTGAATTTGATAAAGGTGAGCGAGAAATAAGACTAGGAGCAAAATTTCATTCTACAATATTTAGGCTTTATCGCGAAATTAACCAGTCTGTTATCAGCTATTGTCTACAGGGTCATTTGGAATGATTTCGCCGATTTTCTGTTCGAGTGATCTGGTTTCTCCGACTTGTCGTTTATGTAAAGGATGACCCATTTCAATCATGACATCAATATCACTGTGATGAATAATCGGCTCAGCAAATATACGAGGCATATTTTTGTTTGATATGCAGAAATTTAAGGAAAAAAAACTTTTTTTGTGTACTGAAATTTGCCGAAATTTAAAATTTTAGAATATACTACTCATCAGATTACGGAACAGCTAATTATCTGTGGGGGAAAGGTATATGATTCAGAAGATGACTTCAATTATACGATTAAAACTTCTCTTTCTTTGTACATCATTTCTTTTCTTAAAAGATGACGAAACACACCAATGGTATGATCCGCTTGAGTGAACGGGTAACATTCACATTTGTACCTTAGGTAAAATAGCAAGAATTATCTGGCGGAGATACCTGAAATAGAATTACGACCCTGAATCTATATGAGAAATAAAATTGCTAAAACTGGTAGAATATTAGACCGACTTCTCTTTTCATTTCAATAAAATAAGTAATGAGAATAGATTACGGTTATCAAAGCAACGTTAAGTTTAATTCCTCCACATCGGAAAAGCAAGGGTATTCATTTAGAGACATTGAATTGAAATCGGCTATACCTGAAAGTTTGGTTAGTTCCTTTATCTCATTTTCTCATCAGAAGAAATACTTCAAAAATTGAAAGTCTTGGATTCTCAAGGCATTCTAAAAGAAATGTTTTCGGGATTTAAGAAAGACTAATTAAAAGGTTTTCAACCGTTTACTTTGCAAAAAATAAAAAAATTCATTGCAAATAACATATAACATAAATTATTGTTTTCCATAAATACCATTTGCTAAAAACCGAAAAAAACTAATTTTATTAACTTGTTTTCTTAAATTTACATTAGTAAACAAAACATTTGATCGGATACGACTTATATAGTTTGTGCTCACTTTCATTTGTTAAAAAAGCTGATAGAAAATGCTTTTGTACAGAAAGAGGTGCTATTACCCTTAAAACCAGGTTGAGTCCATTTGGTTGGCACTTTCAAATACAAATGGTGTAATATCAGTTTTCTTCCATCATTGGCTTCTGCATAATCACACAGATCTTCCAATAGTAGCGTCAGTGTTTCAGTTATTCCATGGACGAATATATATTCACCTGAATCTTAGCACTACAATGAATTTGAAACTGCGTCGAAAAAGAATGGTACAAAAAAATTTTTCTCGGTAATAAGAATTTTGGCACAAATTCGATAGATTTACAATATAATCTCAATTATTTTGAAATATGATTTTAAAAAAAGAATAATAAACGAACCAGATTTGATTGCATCAAAAGCATTTTCAAATGTGCAGCAATTTTCTTTTTCTCAACATCTGCATTATATTTGTGCTTTTCCAATGAATCGGGTGCTTATCGTAACATAGGTTGCACTTGAACAAGAATTCTTGATGATATTATCGCAAATCATGATACCAGATTCATACCTCGGGTGAGATTCAATGCTGAAGGATAATCCTTGCAAAATGAGTTAAGTAAGATGTGACTGAGAAAGTTGAAGGAATGAAAGACACCTAATTGATTAATCATGGGTGGTCTTGCATACAGTAGCTTGATCAAGATTTCAATTCACTGCAATTTATTCCTGCTAAAATCGAGATCGAAATCAAATATGACTTTGGGGCTTTTTTTATACCATAGCTTTATAGACTGCATAATATAACGAAAGGAAAAAAAACGCGTAGTTCAGAATCCAACGGCATCCAACACTAGTACGTGTCAGCATTTCACTACTTCAAATAACTCAACTTATGTGTCCTTTTCATTATCTTTAGTAATATTTGAAAATTGAAAAAGAGAAACTGTTAAACAATTCGGAAAAAAAAGACATATGGGAGATGCTGCGTAGAAAGCGCAGTAAGCAAATGTCAGTGCTGATTCATTCAATTAGAATTCTGATGCACCTTTCAACAATCATATCAGCATCAGTGCTCAGCATCTATGCGTTATTTATTTATTAGTTTGCAACTTATCAACATCAGTGCCACAGCAGTCTTAAGGGTCTACATGAGTTGTATTTACAATTCAAACAGCCAACGAGAATAATTTTTGCCGCTGTAGCACAAGTGCAAGGAAAGGACGCACATCGAAGTAGTCAAGTAAGTAAGTATTGGTATTTATTAAATGAGCGATTCGGTCATTGAAATATTGCAAGAATTATTAAAAACTGCATGCTGCAGGCTATTATAGTGTCTCGATTCTAAAAGAAGGAGTTCAAATATATTGTGAGACAGCCCAACGAAATATTGATCGTTTTAACTGCTGAAGTAATACAAAATATTGTTCGTTCCAACTCTTAAAGTAACGTTCCACTATCTGTGCATTGCACTTAACTATACAATTTTTAAATAGCAGACAGGTCATCACGACCCATTAAAGGTGACCATCAGGGTTTGAACTAATATTCAGCTTCCCATCGATAATCTTCAGTTCTTTCCCGAGAAACCGATATTTCCTGGATTCTAATCTTTGAAGAGTGAGATCCAGAATTCCCTCCCTTTCTTTTCTCCTAATTGGATTATAACCCAACTTCCGAATATCTGGTAGCTTTAAAAAGTTTTTAGCTACATTTTATTGAAATTAAACATCATGATCAAATTCTAAACAAACTTTTTTAATCAATCCACCCCAGTCTTTTTCTACTCTCCAGATGTTTTCAAGAACAATTACTTTATAGCAATTAATAAATATAAAATTAGAGAATCCACATAAAATAAAGATTGAAAATTGGTTATCAAGGTAAACCAATATTGAAATACATGAAACGATGATTACTTCTGGTAATTATAAAAAATGGTTCATACATTCTTATATACAAAAACAGGAACTGCTTTGAAAATTAAACTTGTATTGATTTGAATTTTAGAAAATGCAAATTCATATGGAAGACCTCGATAAAATAATACTATCAAAATTTGAGGATTCCTGAAATTGAGAATAAATTCATTTAAACCAAAACAGCTAACTGCAAACAGAGAAAATTTTTCCATATCATATCACAATGTATAAATGTAAAACTCAAACCATCCTGGGAGGATGCAAACTAACAATTAAAAAAAGGTACATTAAATAGGAAAAAAAATCATGAATGTAAACATTTATACCATTCTGAAAAGGTAAGAGGTATCAATTAGGGCTGGTATTGTCGGGAAAGCTAATCTGAACTCATTTCTCAGCGATATAGATTTATTCAGGATGTAATATTGTTCCTGCACAAGATTGCTAGTTAACAACAAAAGGGGTGTAAAATATATATATGTATACATTACGGGGTGAATGGTAAGCAGTGATAATGAGTTATACAATAAGCAAGCAGTATGGTCAACTAACATTCTTTGTCGTTGCCTTCAATAATAATATGACTGTTGGTTAGTTGATAGGTCTTTGAATTGGGGATATGCAACAGGGAATGTATCTAGCGAATAGAAGAATATCGTAGTTTGCTGTCCAGTGGTGGCAGATATGCGATGTTGTTTGTGGTTCAGTCGTGGAAGATATGCGAAGAGGATGTATTGTCTGCTTAATTGTGAAAACTAAATTATTTCGGATTTTTTCCTTATATATATATATATATAAAGGAAAAAAATATATATATATATATATATATATATATATATATATATATATATATATATA